TTCAGAGGCTGCAGGTTCAGAGGTTGTGCTCTCTCCTGGCTTACTCTGGTTTTTATCTCAGATCTTCAGATTTTAGTATCCTGGTTTGATAACTTTCTCCCCACTCTGTGAACTTCCTCACTTGCCAGCCCAAAGGGGGAGGCATCACCACCCAGAAACCACAACCCCCTACATCAACCCAAACATGACTCTAATAAAACCTCCCCTCCTTTCTGTAACCAACAGAGTGGTTGGGAAGGGAAAAGCTGAGGGGGCTGCGCTGGCTTCCAGCTCCACATGGAGGTCAGAGCTGGGCAAGAAGGAGCTCAGCTCAGCCACGTGTGTTGTTTTCTACAGGAACAAGATCTGCCCGACGCCGTCGCCGCAGCACGCGCGTCCCCAGCTCAACTTTACCTTCACCAGCTCGAAAGGAAATCTCTCGTGGAAAATGCGGTTGATTCTGGCACCCCCGGAGAGTTCGAGTGTGTCCACCTGGTCTCCTGAACCTTCGATTCGTTTCTCAAAGTCCACACCAAATTGTTGGACCATTCTGTGGAGAAACAACGGGATTAAACAGGTGCCAGACGGACAGATGGACAGCCAGACCACCTCCCACAGCCCAATTCCTGTTGCAGAAGCAGAAATCCCTTGCTTGTGGTAGTTTCAAAGCACGTGGGCAGGTCGAGGAGGGACACAAATGGTCCTTTCTAACCCCAAGGCCACACTGTTTGCTCTAGGACAGCAGCCTGCCAGGCAGCACCGGTGGAGATGGAATCACCCAGGTGCCAGGTTGGCACTGTTGGAGTTGGCAGGGTCGTCTGCCTGCATCGCTTGCTCCCAAAAAATGGGCTGTTCCAGGCTATTTCCTTGGAAGAAGCCACCAGCTGAGATAAACAAGCCTGGCACAAGAGGAGAGTGAGTTTATTTCTGTGCCAGCAAGGTTTCTGGCTGGGAGAGTGGCCTGGTTTTGAGCTGGGCCAGAGCTGGTTTCTTTCCAACAGTTTGAACAGGGCTGGGGTTTGGGTTCAGCTGGGATTTGTGAGGAGAGAAACACTGAGAACACACTGATGTTTTCAGTGGTCGCTGGAAGTTGAAGGACTCTGTGTTTTGCCAGTTGCAAGAGCAAGATCTAAGAGGGGGGGCAATGAATATTTAAATTAATGAGCTAAATTGGCATCTGGCTCTGCCAAGGGGCTGTTCCATCTCCTGTCCCCCATGGGCAGGAGATCCATGAGGGGCTCTTCCTCTCTTGCTCTCTCTGGCTTTGGCTCGGGCTCTGGCTCTCCCGGGATTGCGGTTTCGGGTTGAGATTGTGGCTCCTCCAGGATTGTTATCTGGGAACA